AAGCGAAGGAAAGCCAGAGTGGCTTTGCTCCCCTTTTCAAACATCCCACCACCGTTGCGTTCGAGGCGAGGCCCTGCAGGCCCACCCAATTGACTGCTGCACACTCTAATGCAAGGGGCTCAATGGGGTTACCTGCGGGATCTTGCCTCGAACACAGCAGCAGTGGGACATTTGAAAAGGAGAGCAAAGCCGCTCTGGCTTTCCTGCACTCCCGCCGCTGCTGTGTTCGAGGCAGGCACGTCGGGAAAGTGGAGGAAATCTGGAGTGGGCTTGCAGAGTGTAACTCACCTAGATCAGACGGTGGTAGGCAGGCAGGGCTGGCTGGCTGGCTGGCTGGCTGGTGCTGGTAGTGATGGCGGGCGGGAAAATGGGAAACAAGAGCACATGTGCTACATAAGAAGTGACTGGGTGGGATGGGCAGGAAATGCTGTCAGCGATTGTTGCACATGCGCGCAATGTCACACGTGCACAATAAGGACTGACAGCAGAAAATGGAGGAGCGGGGGGAGGGGGCAGGGCCAGCCAGGGGCCCTTTTTGCCAGTTCTTCAACCTACTGGAACGATAACAACCAGTTCTTGTGAACTGGTAAAATCTCACCTCTAAATTGTGCCCTGCGAGGGGCCCACCTCCAGCGCCCCCTGCCACCTCTTAGCACCCCCCTGATGGCCCCCTTGCCTCTTACCACCCCCTAAGTCATCTCACTGCTCCCCAGGGGGTGGTACCACCCACTTTGGGAACCACTGGTCTAGTCTAATGAAAAGTAGGACTAGGGGACACATGATAGCAGTGTTCCAATATCTCAGGGGCTGCCACAAAGAAGAGGGAATCAAGCTATTCTCCAAAGCACCTGAGAGCAGGACAAGAAGCAATGGGTGGAAACTAATGAAGAAGAGAAGTAACTTAGAACTAAGGAGAAATTTCCTGACAGAACAATTAATCAAGTGGAACAACTTGCCTCTTGAAGTTGCTCCAACACTGAAAGTTTTTAAAAAGATGTTGGATAACCATTTGTCTGAAGTGGAGTAGGGTTTCCTGCCTAAGCAGGGTGTTGGACTAGAAGACCTCCAAGTTCCATTCCAATTATATTACTCTATTATTCTATTAGGTGTAAACTAATAAGCAACTGAACTTGAATGGATCGCGCTGTCTCACTTGGGCTTGGACCTGGCATTATTGAACATGAATCTGCAAAGAAGATAAATTAGTACCATGACAGGCCAATATATAAGAAAATTGCTTTCCCAATATTTTTATATAAAATCCATTGGTTTCCCCCAAATATTTTATATTTTTTTTTACTGGCAAGATTATATGTACAAAATTCAATCGAACAAAATGTTCACTGTATGTGTGGCCATTCTTCTTCTTTCCATTTTATGATTATTATTGAAAATAATTTAGTTGTAAGATGAAGTTCTTTAAAATGATTCCACAGGGTGTCAAATCGCTGGATACCACTGCTATAATAAGAGATACACTTGGACCACACGTGGTTTGGAAAAACCTCTAACTCTGGAAGTGATATATCATTAAATGTTTAATTGAGCCTAATGAGATTCACTAATGCATAATACATAGATGACACACACCCAATCTTAAAAGAAAAAGATAAGGAGAGAAAGGCTGTCCTACCTTTACTAGGTGCCGATTTTCTCACAGATGCAACATGATCTTCTGAGATGGCAAGTCTTCTCACTACATCAGCCAGAGCTGCTTTCAACACTGTGATTTCATCTTCTTGCTGCTGTACTCTCAGTTCAAGAGCCGAAAGGCGATCTTGGACATCAGAGGTACTTGCTGCAGAAATGCTATCATCTGTGGGAATAAAAGACATGGTGCTTTCAAAGTGTGCTGTAACATTCTAAAAGAGAACTGTTTGTACATTTATGTCGTTCCATCAAAATAAAAGTTTGTGCTGACCAATTATAAAATAGAAACAATCAATCTATATAATAGAAACAGGAGAAACACAATAAAATTGAGAAGTCTGTGAAAATATTTATAAAAGAAATTTTAAAGTCTCAAGTTTATTCAAAGTGGTTGGCCATATTTTGGTATTTGAATCTACAGTATCATTATTATAGAGGCAGCCTGGCATCCATTAAATGTATTGGGATTGTAATTCCCAGAACTCCCAGCCAAAGTGGCAACATTTAGAGGAACTATGGAATAAATGTCTTGACTGTAAACCTCTCCATTAGATGTGAGAAATTGTTGAAAGCCATATCTTACATTAAGCATCTATATGCAACCGCTTCTACCCACACAATCCCAAAAAGGCTTTATGGGAAATTAAAGTAAGGGGTACCAAACAGGAAACTTAACAGAATGTCCAAACTGGTAAATAAAATCCCTAATTTCACATGGTGGCAAAAAAATGCTTAGATCCAATACAGATTAGAGCAGACCTGGGTATTTTATGACCCCCGGCCACATCTGGCTCTTTGGCTGTCCCTGTCCAGCTTGCATGAGATAAATCAAAAATTAGAAATTAAACATAACTAAGCAAGCCACAGGAAGCAAGAAAAGAAGTCCAGTAGGGTCTTGCTCTATGCACTTGCAACACATTCCTTCAGTCAGCTGGCGGCTGCACAAGAACAAGGAGAGAATAAAGCATTTTTCAGTGCCTGCACAGTGTTCACCCCTTGTCTGACACAGTTTGGGGAGTTGAGGTGGCAGAGTTTGAGGGCATCAAATCAAGGCCCTCCATAACAATATCAGTTTCTCATGTGTCCCCTTGGAAAAATTAATTGCCCACCCTTAGATTAGGGAACTGTGTATACCATTCTCCATGGAAAGGGACATTTCAAATGTTTCCAATTCTTTTAGAAAAGGCTGAAGAACAAGAGATGTTGCTGGTACATTCTGGATTATAGAGAAAGCCAAAGAATATGAAAACGAAATTAATATGTGCTTCACTGATTATAGAAAGGCCTTCCATTGTGTCAGCCATGTTGAAAATGGGAATCTCATAATATCTCATTGTCCTCATACAAACCCTATAAAATATGACAAAATGGATTAGTTCCAGGTTGGTAAAGAAAGGAGTCAAAGTTCAATACTGTCTTCTTATTATTGAACCTATACAAGGTTCAATACATTAATAGAAAATCAGTGTGATTTAAAAATTGAAAGAAAAATCAACAATAGCCTATGCCTAGGATGCTATTCATGACAGCAGGTAAAAATGCAAACTCTAGTAATAAAATTCCAGGAACACAATGAAAAAATGGAACTGAGATTAAATAAAAAGAAAGTCACACAAATGACAAGTATACCGGGTTTCCCCTGAAAATGAGACCTAACCAGAAAATAAGCCTTAATGCATAGAATTGTTCTCTCTTTGAATTCATCAAATAACAAGGATCTACTCCAGATTGCCATTTTATTTGGTTGCAGTGGCACAACATAACAAGTTATGGGGTACAAACGTACTCATCTAATGAATCATTCAGTATATACCGAATCTTCAATTGGATGAAATATGACTGAAATGACTATCAAAATCAGCTTTTTACAGTATTATAACTTCCAGGTATTTATTAATGCATTAGAAGGTCCTAATGAACAATACTGAGATGTCCATATAACTATTCCTATGATTATTAAAGGCATGCACAAATAGGTTATCAAAAGAAAATACTTAAAAAACAATATCTCAAGCTCATCTGTGAAATGAGACAGTCCTACAAGTAGCCTGGGCTGGACCCATGCCATGAAGGACTTTAAAGATAATTATCAACTCCATAAATTGTACCCAAAACCAAATTGGCAGCCAGTGCAATTTGCAGACCAGTAGTGTTACAAAGACTACTCTGGGGGCCCCAAAAATTGCCTGCGCCACTGTACTCCTGCAGCTTCCAAATGCTCTTAAAGGATAGATTAGAAAAAAAAGATAAATAAAAAGTTAGTTAGAACTATGAAAACTATTTTTAAAAAATGGGGTATAGCCTAGATTCGTAGATGTGTACAATCATGAATTTTATGATTAAGGTTACTAAGTTACCAATGACATCTAGCACTATACCTTACTGAAGTAAAATTTAGGAGAAGAGGTGAGTTTCTTAAACAAATGCTTAGGTACCATTTGGGGCCAGATGAAAGTTATCAAATGGAAACTGAAACTTACTATTAATAATCAAATCAACCAGTGCTTGCTTGGAGAGACTGCTGATATAGATAGGGTTACATACTGACTGAAAGATGGGATAAACTGTTTGGGAACTCTCTGGATTTTATATTGCTGCTGGATGCCCTTTGATGGCAGCTACATGGAGGTTTAGCTAGCCACAGCACTTCCATTTGGAACGTGAGCTTTAATCTGTCTTCCACATATTGGTCGCTTCTACTATTTATACAGATTAAAGCTTCAACTGGTGCAAAATACAATTGTTTGTCTATTGATTAGATTGCACTAAAATGTTGCGTTATTTTGACTTTGTGTTATCTAGCTTTCTTATTTTTTTTTTTACTGAAATACACTGTTATTTGCAACTGATTCTGATCTAAATCATTAGCTAACAATATTGCAGGTTTCGTAGTAATCTAAGTAATTCCTAGTAAATCTAAGGGAAAAAAGGGATAAAAGTAAGTTATTTGGATAGATAGTGAATGCAGTTACTTCTTCAAGATTCCCAGAAGTATATATGTAATTAAATGTAAAAATGTTACAAGAAAATAAATGCTCAGAAAAAAGTAAAGCTTCATTATTCCTGTGTAGTGCAGTCTAGAAATGCCATTTTGATTAAAATGTTCATATCAAGCTAGCTTTGCAAGGATGTAACGAATTCTATTTGTCTCCGTAATAAACTGTTTGGAACTATACAAGTTTTAGTACTCCATCCTGTTCTTATAGTACTATAGTTAATAAGATCATAATATTCAGCACATTTGGTGGGCTGTCAAAAGCTGATTTCAACTCCCTATGTGCAATACATGCTTATTTTCAAAAAAAAATATGAACATAGCCATTTAAGTATCAACTCCTTCAAAAAAAACAAAAAAAAACCCTTCCTATGTTCTTGAAATGCTATCAAACAGCAGTTGGACTTAGTACAATGTATCTTTATGACTGTTGAAACAGGAACTTGGCAGGAATTGGTTAACTGCATGTCTTCTAACCGGAAGAGATTTAAGACCTCTTCACTCATGGAAATACCAGTAGTTCAGACCTCACTTTCAGTAACTGACTTCTCTTACTAATTAATTTAATGTAAAAAAACAAAATAAATTACCCTTGTCTCTGGAAACAATACCTAGGATATAGAAGAACAATATGTAGATGTTAATAACCATCACAAGCATTTAATAATTTGAGCCTTGTCACTTGAATTACATCTGAATTTAATGACCAGAAAGGTGCTTCACAATATTTCAAAATGATGAAGCTGACAGGAAAGATTAAGATAACATAAGATGGTATATCATGTAACTCACCTCCCTAGGTTACCTGCTATAAAAGACAAATAAACCTCCACTCCCCCTCCTTTATTAGAAGAATAAAGGTAGTCCTTTCTTACCAACTGCCTTGTTTAACAACTGTTCCAAATTATGACAGTTGGGGAAAAAACAAACTTGCAACCAATCCTCACATGCAGTGGGCCATAGTCCCATGATCACTATTTGGGCACTTTGCAATCAGTGCATATTTATGATCACTCCAGCTTCTGCAGTCGCATGATCAACATTTGAGCACTTCACATCTGGCTTGCAAATAAGCATAATTATGCAGAAATTAACAACAAGCAGAAAATGTAGAAGTGAAATCTTACGTCATGTGATTTCCCACTTATTGCAGTTGTTTTGCTTAACAGCAGGAATGGAAATGAACTTGTAGATCAGCATGGTCATGTGATTTTTCATTTAGCAACTATAGCACTTAATAATGGAGTTGCTGGTCCCAATTGCAGTTGGTATTTGAGCGGCTCAATTCTCCAGAATGGTTTCGACAGGATCCATGTGTTGAGATGTATTCAACTCTGGTTGGTTATAGACTGAATAGAAAAACTGAAGACACACCCCCTCTGGGCTACCATCTCGTTCTTCTATTCAGTCTCGGCTGATATAGACTATTGCTCAAGAGCTCCTCTGTTTTCTTTTAGCTTCAAATTCTTGATTTTTTATTTTGGTTATATCCACAAAATAGTCCTAAAGGGACTACACACACAACAGACCTTAAATCGTCTTTGTGTTTTCAATCAACTGAACGAATTGCTACAGGCTCAGCAAACTGCCTGACTGTTTTACAAGAGTCTCCATTTTGCACACAATTGCATTTCTCTCCAATCGCTCCCAAAAAACCTAGAAAAGAGAATTGGGAGCGTGGAAGACTTTTCTGACTGCTGGGTAGCCTGCCCACATTAAGGGAGAGTTACCCAGTCAGCACAGGGAGTTCAAGGTACGGAGCCAGAAGCAGTCAGTGCTTAACAGCTGACTGGCATCTATCAGTTTGGCGCATTACTTCAGGACAACTCACTCCCAAAATCATCACAAAAAGGATTGGGAGTGTCAAAGCTTTTTTTGTCTGCTAGGTAGGCTGCTCATGTTAAGGGAGCGCTACCTAGGTAGCATACGGAAGCCAGAAACAGCACCCAACAGCTGACTGGTGGAGACCCTTTTCAGCATTTATTTTGAAGATCACAAGAATGAAGGTATTAAAGGGCTCCTAAACTGAAAAAACCTGACAGACAACCTGGATCCTGTCTACACCATCTGAGAAGGTGCATTCTCAGTCTACCAATGCCCTTTTCTTGCTATCACTCTGACAACAGACAAATGGGAGCAGTCAACTCACGTTGTTGTTTTTTTGTCACAGC